ACCGGGAAATTTCCAAGCTAAAGATATTTGCTAAGGTTTATTTACGTGTTGAGATATCACTAGGTCAAGGTGGAGATCGACCTCTTTCATTACTCGCCCATATACTGAAATAAGTTATTTATTTTCCACTTATTTGGTTGTCAAATTGAATATTTACCTTAAGATTGCACATGTAAGTTAAGTTCTACAGGATCAAAGTATCGTCCTCTGCGATATACTAGATCTACTGGTGCGGGCCTCTTAAACTTCATTAGTAGCCACAAATGAGTTACTTTAATAAATGACCTAATGTAACTAATCTGAGATATTCCACCTAAGAATACAATTGCCATAAGCATATAGCCTACTAATGTTGGTTCTTGTTCTGTGAGTGTCTTCGTCGTTTTCCAAAAATACATCCATGACATGGAGTCCACTACTTCACCAACCAGGAATAAAGCATAATAAATTGACAGAAACAGGTAGCTCAGACAAGTAATGCCCACGATTTGAGAGGGATAAATAAAAATTCTCAATATATTAGGACAAGTTGATACACGGTATTCCTTAGCCCATACGCATGCAAGATTGCTTAACAATAATACCATTCCAAAAACGAATGCGCAGGATATCAATGCCAGTGTAGGTTTCTTACCAAAATTTTCCGGATCCACAATGTTACTTATGTTCCATACAATGCCAATTATCGACATAATACATTGCATATGACACTCATAATAATCAAGTATCCATTTCATTGTTTCGTTAAACATGTTGGATACAATATATATAGTACTATATACTAAAATTTCCTAATTGAGTTTATAAAATAATTTTCCTAAATTTGAAACTCACAAAATGGTTTAAAAAAAAAAATGAAAAAATATTTTACGAATGTTATTTGTATAAAATATCGAGATATGTTTCAAAAATATAAGGTAAATTGATTTAAAATATGATTCAATGCAATGTTAAAATGATTCTAGAACACAGTTCCAGTTCCAGAATATTTTTTTATATTAATTTTTTTATTAATATAAAAATATAGGATTACACAAATGACAAGTTTTTAAGTTTAAGCAAACTTTAGCACTAATTAACAACTGGGTTTATAATGGGTTCCTATATATGAAAGATTCCGGAACGCTGTATTTTGTTTTTATGATTTTGATTTTGATTCTGATATCGGAAAGTGTATATAGAAAGTCCTGAAGTTGCAAATCTCGCTTTAAACCTTTGATTTCAGGGTAAGAAGTTAAGCGTCTAAATTTCCACGTTAAACGTTCAAGTACATTAGTGTGAAGAGGATTTCGCTGTTGCTAAATTACTTATCGATACAACTCAGGATCATAAAGATAAAATAATAAGTAAGTATATACACATATATAATAATGTATTACTTTATAAGGAATAAAGGGGTTTTTAATAAAAAGAATTGATATTGACAAACATCATAGTTTGGTGTGTGACAAACGATCAATTACAGAAAGACTTGAAGATTGCTTGGATAAGAGACGAAATAAAAAGCTTAAGTTGCAGGTACATCCACAGACTTGAAGTTCACTTAAATTTTCTTGTCTGCTAAACAACAGTGAGAAAACAAGACGATTAGATCTATTTTATAGAACCTGAAAAATTTTAGAAATTATGTATGTATACATAGGCTGTATGTACATTAAGACTGAAAAGTTTTCGGAAATTCTCATTTAAAATTCGCGCGCTGTATATTTTTCGATATTTTAAGTTTATGTAGTTTGGCAGCACTGTCCTTAATTACTATGCCAAAAATGAGCTCGATCTGTCAGACAGTTCGTTTACGGCAGCTGTTGAAACCAGTTCACCTCAGTAGTGCGTTGCGAAATGTCTTCGACGGTCGTACGACCGTCCTGGAAGGCTTTGTACCACTCATAAACTTGAGTTTTCGATAAAACTGATTCCCCATAAGCCTTTTGTAGCATTCGCAACGATTCTGCACACGAAATTTCGTTCGAAACACAAAATTTGATGCAAACTCTTTGTTCAATATTTTTTTCCATTGTTTTTTTCGCAACGCCCTACTGAGGTGAACTGGTTTCAACAGCTGCCGTAAACGAACTGTCTGACAGATCGCGCTCATTTTTGGCATAGTAATTAAGGACAGTGCTGCCAAACTACATAAACTTAAAATATCGGAAAATATACAGCGCGCGAATTTTAAATGAGAATTTCCGAAAGCTTTTCGGTCACAATGTATACATCCATATAGCTGTATGTACGTATATATAAATTGTATGTATAAGAATTGTGTTGTTGTTTCTTCATTAATGTTTTAACCTCTACATAAATGATTAGGTTTTTTGGAGTTATTAGTTATTACACTAATCATCCAAATATATGCTATTTTATATACATTATAGTTAATAATATTTGTATTGGTCTATATTTTTATTGGCCAAAAACAAATAAAATCTATATTTTTTTCTTTCTAGTTTTTTTTCGTCATAAAAATTTATATTTTTTCGAAGTTTCTAAATATATCTGAATGTAAAATATTTTATTCTATTGTATCTATTTTATAAAAAATATGGGATTAAAATTTTTAAATTGAAATGAAAAAAAGTTTTTATTATAAAAACTTATCTGTCAAAACATTATTTATATACGTAGTCTTATATCAAAATTTTAATTTATTTTTTAATCATAAAACAAAATAAATATTATTAATAATTGGCGTGTGCGAAGTTTATCACTAAATCTAGGGATTTCCGCTTAAATATATCTAAGAGGTAGACAAATTCAAAAAGTCTTCTGGAAGTATGGAAACGTCAAAGGGGATTGTCCATGATAAGATTTCTCCTTAATAATAATTTGTTAATCATACGTGATAAAGAGAACCTTTCCACTTTATCAAAATCGTATGAAGACAAGATAAGTAGTTGCATTAATTATTTTGCATTTAATTAATTAAAATTAATACTAATATGTATTAAATATATCAATTTACTATCTTTTATTTAGACTTGATGGATATTTATATATCAGAATTTAAAAATATTAATATATTTTTATACAAAATAATCTCTGACTTTTGAATAAAACGGCGCCACATGGGATATTTTACGCGCAGAGTTTGATAATATATTCCTACATCGACATACGAGACATACGCCATCGTATTAAGACATAAAAAGAGGCAATAGGAATTAAGTACATCGATTTGGATATAGTTGTTTTAAATAGTTAATTTGTTAAAATGATAGATTATCGTAGAATATAGCCAATTTCATTGGAAATAATAAGTAAATATTATTAATAAAAGTCTGGAAAGAATTTAGGTTTTTCTGTGTACTACTTGATAATCCCAAATTGTAAATATTTGAATCCATAAAAACGTTATTACAAATTAATCTTTCTTGATAACTGGTACCTGTTAGATTCAGTAATAAAGAAAGATTTATATATAAGTATTTTCGAATATTGTTTGAAATTTTAACTCCTTATTTAAACTAAAAACACGTTGAGTACTGAGCTAGATTATATATTATAGGATATATCAATATAGTAAGGTCATAGTAGTATTAAAAATTTTAAAGATCTATCACAAGAGAAGGCGGAACTATAAACAGAGAAATTTTTTTTTTCGACATCAAGAAAACTATCTGATATTGTTATCGTAAACTTCATACTTAACCACTAGAAGAGGAATATCTAATAATAAGAGTTCTAGGAAGAAGTAACGAACATATATGCAACTCATATGTAATTTGTCACAGATAAATTGTTATACTTAATCCAACTTTAGCAGCTTAAGGCAACGGATTTTAAGAGAAAGACTTTTTAAGAGCTTGAAAGAGAAATGACAGAAAAGCAATAGACATGGAACGATATATGCAGAGAAGCACCTAATAGAGTGCGATTTAAGAGAATTGTTGCGGCCCTATGCCATACTAGGGGAAACGGACACTAAGAAGAAGAAGATATAACTATATACAGATACCTATGTGTTAGGTAGTATATCTTAATAAAGAAAAAAACTGTCGTACTTATTATAATAAGATGTACCGTAGAGATATCATTCTTATAATGAGTTTTCTGATGAGCTACTGCCATGGAAACCATGTTGAGAGTTTGAATTTCAGTGACTCTTGTCGAAATTGTAACCACGATGAGAAAAGTGTTTTACAATTGCTTTGTTACTGTAAATATGTTATACATTTAATTTTATATTGATTAGTTAGGAAAGTTCTAAATTAAGTAGAAAAAGATTAAAAGATATATTGGGATTTAACAAAGCAGAAATTTATGTGCTTACTAGAATATTTACGGGACTTGTACTTTTGTATCGTTGTTTAAATGGATGTTTGGACAAACTTAAAGTGAAGGAAGTATCATGATGAGAATAGCGCTCGAAGTTGCAATATAAAAGGGTTGTTTAGCTCGTTTTTTTGGAAAACTTATAAGGATTCCAAATGAGATTTAGATGACTTCAAGTGAAAGTGTTGTTATATGTATTAAAATGTAACAAGTCAACCTAATGAAACTAATGTACTGCATTTCAAGATTTATGAAAGGTCAGGAATAGTTTTAAGCTTTTAAAGAATTAATACCCAATGTAATAGGCCAACAGATCTAAGTAAATGTTTACCATAATGGAAATAAACTAATGTATTGAACAAATAAATTGATTGTATATCTATAAAAGTTGACTACCTCTGGTACTGACTAATCAACACAGGTTGTCTGGCATCTATTTTTATGTTGCTTTATATTAACAAAAAAGCGAAACGATTATAGGTTTATATTGCCTTTTTATATATAAAATTTTTACTGATTTTATCAAAACATATCAGTACAAAGTAACAGATATTTTAAGGTTAAATTTAAAAATGACTTAAGTGTTGTTTAAGAAAACATTTCTAATATTTTAAACTTTGACTATAGCAATTAATTTTATTCAACAATTCATTTGTCTGGAATATCACCAAAGTACTCAAGTGCCAAAAATACATGTATTGGCTTGCTACTTATTCTAGAGAGTAATTAAAATTCAGAAAAATTCAAGTACCTCCATTAGCCGATTATTAAATCTATCTTTTAAAACAATCTATTAACATAAAGCACGCTCCGATAAGCTAAGCAATAATATAATTTCAACAAATAACTTAAATATTGTAAAGTAAATATAGGCATTACTATACACCTTCGATGTTTGTTTAAGTAGGTCTAAGCACACCCCTCTATATTGCGGAAATGATGTTGTTGAAAAACTTCTCAATCGATAAAATCGCGATTACAAGTCTATTCTGTATGAAAATCTAGGAGTGGTTAATACGTATTAAATATCGTACGAGCTATCTCGAATTCTCTCATTAATAGAATCTAACACACTTAATTGTGCCACCTTGGTTTCTTCATTCGATAATACATTAAAACCATTCAAATCATATCACAAATTTGAAAACAAAAAAAGTTTTTGTTAGGCAAAAGAGTGTTATCAAAATAAGCAGCCTAAGACAATCTTATCACTTAAGAAAGCCAACTAAGTATCTGAGGCCAACAAAATCCAGAGAAACTTTAAAACAAGAGCACACAAACCCGAACTGCAACAAATGTTCAAAGCAATTTGTCGGAAACTGAAAGACATATGCGACATATACTTCTATTCAAGCAACGCCTTTAATATATCTCAGAAATTGATAAGAATTGGTCTATTGACGGTATTGCGCATATAAACGTTAAACTTTGTGAAATGAATAGCAATTCCGTATCGTTTTCGCCGTGAAACAGTTGCGTGAAAAGAATTAAAAAAAAAAATAAACTAAATAATATATTAATTTTGTTTGATACGAGTAATACGCTTTAATGAAATGTTAATTAAAAGTGCCAAATTAACTCTTGTTCTGCTGGTTTTGAGTCAAGCAGTATTAGGCTTGGATTTCTATAACTCTGAAATTGAGGTTGTCACCGATGCAACGCGCTACAGAACCCTCAACCCGGATGTTGATTTAACGCAGTTCGAAAAAGTTTATGTTAAAGGAAGTTTTTTATTTAAGGCCGGCGAGCATATAACGGGTAAATAAGTTTACTATGTACTCGAAATTTACTTCGAAGTGCTATTTTTAGTGCAGCTATAAATTATGCCAATCGAAACTAACATTGATTGATAATTTGTTAAGTGTTTGCTCTAGTTTCGCCATAAACGTGATAAGTTTTATTTTGTGAACTCTATTTTTTTGTGCAAATGTGAGCCATTTGAAGTACCTCATTGATAAATTAAAATTGCATTGATATATTACACCCAACACTCTCTCGACAAAACAGTAGTGCATAATCATAAATTAACCTTCATTGCAGTAATACTGAGATAATTTATAATAAAGTTAGTATGCGAGTTGAGGTCTGTTCTGCTAAAAAAAAAAATGTTTAGTTTAATTACTTTAATGCACGAGATATAATTAATTTAAATTTGAGATAGAAACCTATAGAAACCTGAATAGTGCCATATTATAATATATCAAACCATCTTCTTTTTTATCTACGAAACATTAATATTGAAATTTTACTAACTTAAATTAAATTTTATTTTGAACTAATTCAATATATACAATATTACACAAATTTATAGAGCACAGGCTCCCAATGGAGCAGACCACTACGATTATGACAGATTTGATGTTTTATAGACCGACTTGAACTAAACGTAAGTTACTAAGCTAATTGAACAAATTCTAAAAAGAAGAAAAAGCCCAAATGAATATAGCTCTTGTGCTCATATTTTCTTCTTGGTCCCGACCGAAGTAGAACAATCACAAAAATATGACTAGAGGTCTTATTTGCTTCTACACATAGTCGATATTCTGTCTATTTGATTACACCTATCTTGTTAAGGTTGTAGATTATACTACATATCAATTGATGCTTTGGGATGTATAATGTATGGAATGTATTTTGGAATAATCTCTGAACCAAATAAAAAAATAGTAAATTGTAAAATTAAATAGAATAAAAAATATATATAACATGAATCATATTATTGTGAAATCGGAAAATTGCGCTTTCAAAAACAACTGACTGTTTTTGAGTAGAAGCTATTGTACACCTACAAATTAAAAATAGTAATATAAGAAATTTACGCGTCTAATAGATGGATAGCTATCTAAATACTGGAAAAATATATATGCAAGCGTTTTTGGCTACGACCTTAAAATTTTACACCTGCATTCCGAAAAGCAGAAATATAAGTAGTGTGTAGTCTAATTTTGAAATGAAAAATTATACAAAATGGTATGGAGCACCTGGTACTTCATAAACTGGATTATTTTTCCACATTGCTGCGAGTATTTTGATTTCAGGTTTTTGTAACTGTTTCTCGATTTAGGGGATACATGTGTGCCTATCGCTTTTAGTATATTTTGTATATTGTCATAATATATGTTTAGAGGAAGGCGCCAAAAAAGCTATGTTGACCTGGGTGCCAGTTATGCAGTTATGTAGCGGTTTGAATGGATCAAAAAGATTACTTGTAGTTCTAAAACAACCAAATTGTTAATCCCAAATTTCAATACTACTAGTAAGATCTAACATACTTTGCAGTCAGTCATTAGTAGGTCACATTCATTGTAAACAATTTAGGTTTAAAGCAATATATCTATTATGTATGTATACTTAATGAATACGAAACGGACAAGAAAAGAAAAACGGATAAGAAATTGGAATATTACCGGTGTGACATACTTCTTAGTAATTACTACACTTTATATGAAAAAAAATCAGTTTATGGTATTGTTGAAGTAGTAGTGCTATATATATGTAAATCTAGTAAGTTAGCAACCACTGTTCTCACATATTAGTAATTATATTTTTTTTGTGTTTCTTAATAATTCTATAAACATAGTTTGTGAATAAAATGTTTTATTTATTATTTATTTTTTATATATATATTTAATATATATTTGTTGGTTGATGTTTGAGGGTCGACAACATCGGATTCCATTTAATGAAGCTTTATTTTAGTTCTTGTTAAATTAACGTTTCTGTAATTCAATAAACAAACATATGGAAGTCAGAAGTCTACTCATAAATTCGAATGAGAAAGTGACTTGTACTATAGAAAAGACGTAGCTTATTTAGGTTCTTAAAAGTGGACGCATTATGATATAGGAATGTAAAAAATGTAAAATATATAACCAAAGCTTACTGATCTCATGGGCGATCACTTTAGATATGATAACTTGTTTTATTCTGAATATGTAGAAAAGTAAATATAGTAAGATTGTTAAGCTTGTTTCATACCAATCATAGTCTCAGTTGGGAAATAACAGTAGTTCTATCAATTTCCAAGACTATATCTGTTACGCCACTTGTGTAATTATTATTCGGATAATACGTCTAGCAGCTGTTTTATGTTTTCAAGAGTTTACTGTTTTCAAGATTAGGTTATATTATCTAATAATAATACTTAAGCAAACTATTATTCTTAATAACTTTATTGTTAACTATATTTCATTTAACAGTAATCAGCGAAAAAATGGGGACGGGGTTTTCGGGATTAAAATCTCGCATAAAATATTTTGAACTCTTTAATACTAGATAAAATTCATTAATTCGATTCGATGGTTCGATGCTTTTCTCTGTATTATATATAGTGCTAGCTTAAAGAATTAAAGATATTGCTATACATTGTCAAGAGTAGTTATTTTATTATTAATATTAATAAATCGGTGTAAAAATATAAAAATTGGGTAGATTAGAAAAAGAAATCGGTGTAAAAATATGAAAATTGGGTAGATTAGAAAAAGAAAGTATTTTAAAGATTTAATTTAAATTTTTTTTAAGATTTGTAAATCATCTAAAGTTTGAACTTAAAATTTTTTCATAAATATATAAATATATATATATATTATGAAGTCAAATTTATTTAAAAGTTAAAAATTTTTTAATTTTAATTAAAATTAATAATAATTTATTTATACTTTAGGTGACAGTTTAATATTAAGATTCACAGATGAAGCACAATTTACAAAAGCAAGTGAGGTTGAAGTTCTTTTGAGATATCCAGAAAAAGGTACAAATGGTAATACAATTACTGCCATTGAGATATATGTGACTGCATCTTCCGAGGACGCTGATGCATGGTTCACTGAAGGAGGTATTAACAAAAGCTATGCTGAGATTTTATTGGAATGTAATAAGACAGTAAACTTCTCTTATGAAATATATATTTACGGATATTAATTAAAAAATGTATAATTTTTATTAATATTATATTATAATATTGTATAAAAAATATTGAAAATCAAAGATGAACATTTAAAAAAACTGCCATGGAATGCAATAATTTGATTGAAACTTTAGAATGTGAAAATTTTGTACTGATTGTGTAAACTGTGATGAAATTGACATTATATATATCTGCAAAAAAAAAATTAAACAAATTATTACTATTTATAGCAAAAATAATTTAACAGTATTATTAGAAAACTTTACTTTAGGCTAATTATAAGATGAATTTTTTTTACTTTTGGTATGTTTAAATATACTTTTTTAAAATAGAAAAAATTTTGTGAACTTTTGGAACTTAATTTATTAAATTATTTAGTAAAATTAAAAACAAAAAAATGATAAATGCAGTAAGCTAATTGTAATAAATATAAGGAAGAGTGTAATTTATCAAGAAGGGCTCTTTTATGCAGTCCTTTTTATTCGGAATAGGAAAGGACTTGGAAAGTAAAAACATTATGACATTGTGATAATGCTACTTAATTAAGGGCCTTCAGTGTACAAGTAAAGTACCACTTAAAAATATATTTATAACACAATGATTTGGTTAAATTTTTTTATTAAAAAATAATGGACCTTTAAGATGGAAAGATCAAATACTAGTGTTAATGGGCCAAAGATTGAGTCGATTATGCTCCATCAACTAAGACGGCAGCTAAGACCGGCATTTAGTTGTAATTGTCAATTAACTTAAGTACTAGATAGAGATAATGACATTGACGGCAATCAGCTGTGTTTTTGACTTTAACTGTTGAGTTTCCTAATCCTAAATTTCTTCAAATTGATTTATGAATTCATATAAAAAAAAGGGGTCAAAACTTTGCAAATCAATAATCAATTATAGTCTAACAATTACAAATTAATATAAAAGATCTTACATAAAAAGAAGATAGAATACGAGAATGTAGTATCTAAATTACTAATTACTAATTTTTTTAAAAGCTTAAATGAACCAAAAAGTAAATAATTAATTAAAACTATAATTTTTGAAATAGATAAAATTAAAAAATGGTTAGCTTATATTTCAGAGAACTTGATACATTTTTTTTGAGTAATATGCAGTGATTATAAAATTAACTAACAATGACAGCACCAATAGTAATTTATTTACTGATTAAGTATTTTAAGTAATTTACTGACATTCATATTTACGTATATATGGACTGATACATTACAACAACACTTATTGCGTACTTGCTAGCCTGCTTAGTTGGCTATTACAGATGTGAGTCGGTCTTGGCAGCGTCGAGTAGTCTCCAATGTCTTTATAGTCTAAGATAATGTAGTATCTAAAGCAGATACTATAGTGCAAGATAAAAATGTAAAATTGGGCATCCGATATTTCACTATCTTTTCATCTTCACAGCAATATCAGCACTCGTATGATTCAGAGATTATTAATTTACCTATGTAGGTGGAAATTACTGCATTTAATTGATAACCACTTTTTTTCAAAGTTAAACTGATTATATGTATGTGGAAGATAAAAGGACGGTGCCACAAGCAGCAATAAGCTATACAATATATCCTATTTTGGTTTTATTGCGCGAGAAGTTTCCAGGACGTATTATATCAATTTTACAAAGATTATACGTTTTGTCATCGTAGTGAAGTCTTTTGTGAGGTTATGTAAAAGATTGATTTAAGCTGACAATACTTAAACCACTGTTTTGAAAACTAACCTCTGCGAAGTTATGCGTGAGGTATTGCCAGCTATGTACCAGGTTATCACTGTGAGTACTGTGAGTTATCCCATGGAGACAATTGATTGAAATTTCAATAAAAAATGTGATATACATCTATATACGAGGGCGGTTTGAGAAGTCATACTCCAAATGCAATAGAGCTACCGTCAGCTGTAATCTACCAGTGGGCAACTTTTTAATTTGAGCAAGCTACGTCGTTTAGTTGGTGTTTGATAGCCGTTCAAAGCAGACAACCTCGTGAATATTTAAGTTTTTTTTACGTAATTTTTCACTTGTCTAGTCACGATGGCCAAAATCCACGAATTGGGATACGACCTTCTACTTCATCCAGCATATTCTCCAGATTTAGCTCCCCCTGCGACTATTTATGTTTCCAAACCTAAAGAAATGGCTGGGCGGTAAGAGATTTGAGTCGAATGAAGAAGTCATTACCGAAACAAATGTGTATTTTGAGAGCTTTGAGAAAACCTATTATTTGGAGGGAATAAGATAATTGAAAAACGCTGGATTAAATGTATCGAACTAAAAGGTGATTTTGTAGAAAAATAAAATGTTTATTTTCCGAAAAAAAATTTTGTTATTCAAAAAGTCACTGACTTATCAAACCGCCCTCGTATATATCATATATTATAAATTTATATACGTTTACTTTTTAAACTGTAACATGAATAAAACTGTATTTTCGATCAGGTTTGCAAAACGTCTGAATGGATCAGGAACAAGTAGAGTGAAATTTTTTTTTTTAAATTTATCACAAGATATTACCACACATAATATAATGTATAAATGTATTTAATATGGTATCTTTATAATATTATATATTATTTATAATAATATAGATATACAGTATTAGTCCTTGATATGAATTTATGCAAATTAATTAAAAATAAATTGCGTGCCATTATTTCGATATCTTCGGTAAATTCGAATTAAATTTTTATCTTATATATGTATATGTTATATGTACATATTTTAATTAATTGAAAATTAATTAAAATTTTTAATCCATTGTATGAATTATCACCAACCTTTCAACGTGTTTAATTACTTCATCAAATAAATTTCATTGACTTTTGTTTTTTAATATGAAATGAAATACCATTTATGTTTTTCAAAAATTTTTTTTCCACTCCAAAGTTATTTTCGACTTTGACTTTATTAATTATACACATTTATCAGAAAATAGCAATGCAAAAAAGTATCTGCAACTTTATTTTAATTTAATTAATTCCATTTTCATAATTTGGAAATTATTTAAATGGCAATGCCATAAGCAATTACTGCATATTGCAGAATGGTTGTGTTGCTGGCAACGATTTGCACTGAAACTTTTTGCTCTCCTATGCCGCCGTCAGTTATGTAGGCTTGCGATTCAAAACCTGCCGTACCCTCAAGATAAAGTTTGATTTGAGTTATAATTGGATTACTACTTATTTCGGTAGAGTTGTCTGAAGTTTCTGCTGGAAAATTAATATCCAAAACAATATTTGTTTGTGCACTATCGTAGGTCAATCTATATTGCGTGAAATAAATTGGCATAGCATCTGAAAGTGGAAAAATGTAATTAGCTCATAAAACTTTAGCCAAGTGCTACCAAGTGCTCAACACTTTTATTCAGATCCTCACTTGAAACTTCACTGCCCAATGTATAATGGTCAATTTCCAGTGAATCCTTTGAGTTAGGTTCCTCACTGCTGGAAATGGACGCAGTTTGGACTGTAACCAATACAATCATTAACAATTCCAAACTTAATTTCAATTTAAACATTTTTACTACTCTCCGTTTCAGTTATAAATCAATGGAAACACACTTAGTTATGAGAACGAAATAATTACATCCGTTGCGTTCAATGCATTTATATCTTCTCCCAAATGATTTGTTTTTACTGTTGCCATTATGACTTTTAATTGTTGACTTCATATTGTTTGGTACCTTGTACACGCAACAGTTGGACAATTATGTTTACAAATTGATAAAATGAATTGGTTTTTGATAAAATAATAAAAGAAAGTTACTGTGTCAAAGAGTGCAGTAGCAGCAAGATTGCATTGCATGAAGTTAATAATGTTTGAGCCATAACAGAAGTAGGTTATCACGAAAATAATTTAATTTCCGCTGAAGGCTCGTCTGTTAACAACAACGTTATTTAATGAGAAAAAATTATTGCAATGCTTTCTGATTTTTTCTTCATATCAAAGTTGTAATTAAACGTTCAGATAGATTTTTATAATTATTTATTATTTATGCACGTTTCCACACAGTCATAGGCAAATGCACTTCAAATTTATCTAGAAATTGTGATTGAAGTTGTTACTAACATTGAATGCATATTAGTAGTCGAGTAGTAAAAAAAAATGTATCTAATTTAATTTTGCTCAAAATTTGTTATAAGATAGAGTAATAAGATCACATCAAAGTTCTCATAATTCCAGAATTAGTCTAGAGTCATCAAATCAAATCTGAGTCTATAAACTGTAGAGCAAAACATTTTAATGTTAGAAATTAAAGGTCAAAGAGTTATAATTTAAGTCAGTTAGATTTATCGGTGATGATATTAAAGTATAATATAATAACGGTAATAGAAAAAAAAAATTATATATATTTGTAAAATATATATAAAAATTTTTTATATAGAGATAGTTTATTTAATTGATATATATATATATACCAAAAAAAAAAAAGAACGAGAGGCCTATTTTTGAATTTTGAATTGCATTTGGTGATTTGTGTGTGTCGCAACTACGAGTATACGAATGGTTTAAATGGTTCAAAGACGGTCGTACAAGCTTGGATCATGATGAGATTCCTGACGCGGGAATCACAGTTCCCGTGATTAAGTTCTTTTTTGATCACAAGGTATGCATCATACTGTTACTTTTTAACTTTAAGCAATGATCGTTTGGTTACTGATTTTTTATTCAACATTCTGCATTCCAGAATTTAATTAAAAATAAATACCTGTATATATGAATTAAATGCAGTGGTTTTTTTAAATTTGATAAAGCGAATACTCCTTAGTTCAGAATTTGTGGAATAACCTTCAAAAAGACCTCTTATAATCAAAAATATTTTAATATTCGTTTTTGATTAATATCAGATAAATATTTTCAATGTGGCTAACGCATTTTTCTTTCGTAGGAAATCTTTTTTTCTAATTCTTTACTCTTGATATTGCGCTCTATATATCACTTTGCAGATCGTTTTCCCAAGCAAAGATTGCAAGTGATTTTTTTATTTTCCATTTCTGCTTATTTTGTTCTCCATAACCAGGTGTGCCAATGTTCCTGACCCAAATAAGCCAAATATGCATTACAAGATCGGTTCACAGCCCTCATTAATTCATCTCCAATAATGTATTGGGTAAAGTAGATTAAGAGACCGCCTGTATATATGTACAAATATAAACATTTTTACTTAAAAACATCTACAGTTCATTGTTGTCCTCTGTTGTGTCAGAGAGTGTGGCATGGATTGCACTAACTGGTATTTTTTTTAATAACTTTGTGCGCTTTTCTTGTTAAACTATTTCATCTTCCAGACAAAGTAAAAGGGAACCGATCTGCGTACATTTGCCTTCTCCACCAAAATCGTAAAGTAACGATATTCTAGACATTTAAATCTTTTCATCTGGTATCCTACATAAATATATAGAAATTAATTAAAATATTTATTTCTTTCTCTGGCAGAATCCATTTAAAGAAATACGACAGCATTGAAGCATTAATATAAAAATACAGTGCCCATAAGAATTACATTTAAAGAAATACGACAGCATTGAAGCATTGATATAAAAATACAGTGCCCATAAGAATTACAGTAAACACATGAACTGTAGATTTACTGTAGATTAGTCGCAATAAAAGAAAAGCAGCTATATTTTTATTTGAGGGAACATATAGAAAATAACAGGAATTGATATATATTATTATATATCTTAATACTATAATGATAATAATATTTTTTTATTAAACGAATTGACATTGACATTGATATTGTTATCATGATATACAAAAACGACTGATTAATTTAAAGTTAAGCCTAAAAGTATAATTTAGATTAAGTTTATATTTTTTTAAAGATCAGAAATAAAAATTTTTAATAGAAAAACAGGGTGTTTAGGAATATCTTTGACTGAGAAAGTAATTTTCCATAAATTTAATTATACTCTTGTATTTAATTCCACAAATTTTTAGATGTTTGAGTAGCAATATTAGTTAAAAAAAATTTTTAATCTGTCGCTTTCAAATATTTTTGAAAATAGAAAGTATCTCGAGACCAATATCTTGCGCCATGTTTGACTAATGTCCTGACTAATGCACCGGCTATCGCTTTGGCAGTCATTGAATTGACTGATTATTATCAGTCAATTATTACCTAGACTCACCAGATCTGGTCTCTATAGTGCATTTTTTTTTTGCGAGAATTAAGGGCTTCGCTCAATGGGTAAAACTGTTCATCAAATGGAAAGGTGCAATTTCTATATCACCTTAAGTTAATACTTTGAAGATCTTAACACAATGCACTATGGTTCCTAACCATAGTTTCTAAAAAGTTAAAACGTTATTGGGAAAAGTATAATTATGTCGAAGTATAAAAAATTTCTAAAATCTTAATCACATTTTATTTTATGTCGAGTGAAAAATTTTCTTAATAAAGTAGACGATAAGGTTAACATGAAGGAGATAACAAAGATTGTCAAAAGTCTATATTCTCTTTTTTGCAGTGTTTGTTTGTTCTTATGAATATGCTGTCATTATAAGTAAGTCTTTTCATATGATGACTTTATATGCGTTTCTTTAAAGAAACGATTAAAATATATTCGGTATTAATTTTATTATATAAAGTCAATTGGAATACTATGATAAAATTGTGCCTTCGTGGTTTCGAAAACCCGGATATTTCACAATAGTTACTTCGAAATTTGTTTATGATATTTTTAATCAAAATAAAAAATCTTTCGTTATGTTAAGACTTGACCCTGATTTGCATTAGCACTATATACAATTATTCGTGTAGTTATAATATAAAATATCTAAAGTTTTAACAGCCTTGTAATTTTTTCCCATATGTGCTCAGAGATTTGATAAAATTTGGTTTTTTCCAAATATTTAACCGCTTTTCCGCTACTCGATAAATTCAATGCCAAAGTTTGGTTCAATAAATTTTATATATAAAAATATCTATTATCATATTAATTTCAATTATAAAACTGTGCTGATGTAGTGTAAACTAATTGACAAATCTGAAATGATTCATCAAGTTTTGGTTAAGTTCTATAATAATTCGTTCACAGTTAATATTTTAAGAAACTTTAAATTTTGTGGTTTGCAAATTTTTTTTAATTATGTGTGAAGTGTTTTTCGTTTGTGAGTAAATCGTATCTGTTAAGAATTTTACTAAGAAATGTGTAATCTATATTTGACCTTAACCCAAAATTCGTTAATAAATATGAAAATGTGAATAAATAATATTTTAACGTTTTTTATGATGAAACAGTCGATTGAAGGGAAATTTAAAATGAATTATTTCGAAAAATAATTTAAATTTAATTTTAAAAATGTAAATAAATTTTTTTTTGGAATATTTGCAAGGTTTATGGTTTTAATTTTATTTAATTTATTGTAAAACAATAATCAAAATAATATTAAAAATTATAAATAAAAATTAAACAAGTTCTCAATAATTATAAATTAATTCTTCAATACTGTTATATGTATAAAAAACATAAACTATACTCGGGAAAGGGTATTCACCTGTTTATTAATTCTGTAATTTAATCGTTGCAATAGTAATAAATATTAACAAGGTAATTGTCACAAAAGCTATATGTTTCATAAAATTAAAAAAATTATAACTTACGATTTTTCAATTTATTATTACAATATCATCAACTTTCTAAGAAAAGAATAACTATTTCCATTTGTTTATGAAAGAATAATTAATATACAATAAATTATTGTACTTATTAATAGTTTATGACCGGCTTTCTTAGTTTTATATATTTAGATTGAAATTATTCATTAATATTTTCTTGCTTATAACATTAGAAAAATAAATAATATTACATAAGTATAAAATGACAATTTTTTCAGGGTTTTAAAACATTTCCAGGATCGATAATGAATCCTAGATATTTTGTATACTCGTAGATAATATTATGATTTTCTAGAATTTTGTATGAATAAGTGAAAAATTTTTTTATTGGACAATATTCTAAGGGGGACAATTTTACTAAACTTAATTTTTTTTAAAACATTTTTTTGTATGGACGCCATTATTAAATGAAAAAAGTTGACTGACCATGATCTGCACCTTCTTCTAGGATCTGAAGTCCTAGAACTTTCCGTTTGTTTTCATATTGGATTATACTTGTGGTTGCATGCAATTTGAAAGAATTTATAATATTAAATCCATTACATAAATTCTTTTCTATCTTATAGACATATAAAATAATATAGATATATAAAATTATATATCTATATAGATATATAAGATATATAAAATTATATAATAATAACTTTTACTATTTCTTTAAGATGATTATTGTCACAATTAAGATATAAGCGAAATTTTCTTTATTATTATTTATTTTAGTTCACAAATACTTTTCTTTCAGGATATAAAACAGATCAAAATGACTTGCATTAAGTAGTAATTTAGGGTGGAAAAATTTCTCTGTAGAATGCGCGGTATAGTTGTTTCAAGTATGATCGTGCTAGGTTGAGGATGACGCTAGCTCTTTCTTATTAAATTTTTTTTGATATTGAAATTTAAATTAAAATTAATATATGAATGAGAAAAAAATTGTACTAAAGGACATAGCAAATTTATATAGTATAATTGTAAAAAATACAATCTGTTTTGCAATTTTTCTATTCCTTTCCTACATTTAATGCCAGAATCTTTAATAGAGATTTCTAAAACCTTCATAATAATAAGTGTTATAAATTGTGTAAACTTTTACTTTATTTTAAAACATTAATTTGAGTTTGATATTTAAACTCATTTTTAATAAAACATTAAATATAGGTTATCATAATCAATTATTAATATCAAATTTATTAATTATTAAGTATTGATTAATTATAATTATAAAATACTTATAATAGAAATAAAACCAGAGTCATTTATTTTTATGATAGCAATAATTTCAACCAACTTTTAATAATAATAATTTTTGAATTGAATTAAAAGAAATTAACATTTAGAAAATAAAACAAAATCATAATATGAAATTGAAAGTTAAGTAAGACATGTGTTATTAACTGTAAACAGTTATATATTTAACTCCTACTGTTTTTTGTTACTACAGCGAAGTAATTCTAAAGCGGACGGGTCTCTTATAAACAATGACTAAGTGCCTAGGTTCAGTTTTTATGAAAGTGAAACGACACGAGTCTTAACAAGAGTTGAAAAAAAAGAAACAAGAACTTTGCTTTATACGGATTCAGCTTCATTTACTAAAAATCTATTTCAAATTATCGTTAATTGAAGACTATTTTAAATACAAACTTTATTTTATATGAGAATATTAGTAAAATAAACTTTGGACTTATTTGTGAGGAGTGATCATTTTTCAAAATTATTGATATGAGATATAATAAAATTATACACGTTTTAAAAGTAATACAATTTTTATTTTTTAAAACATTAGAAATTGCAAAAAAAAGAAAATACAATATCTCAATAACAATATGTCTCATTAAGAGCAGTGTGAATACTTTCTATATATCTTAATTTAATTTAGTTCTTATTTAAAGACTACTACGCTTGATATTTAAAGGCTTATGTAAAATTTTATAACAAAAATAGTTTATTGGTTTTTTTATATTACATTATTATTTATATTATGTATTATATATATATGTACATATAGGTAAATGATTTATTCATAATTTATTTATGCTCTTCATCTAATTATATATACATATATGTATATAAAGTATACCTATGTAGGATAAGCTTAGACAAACCACATTAAATTATTTCTTTGGGAGTTGTCTTCATTTATTATGTATAATATTGACCTGAGAATAATAAATATTAATATAAAAAATATTCGAAATATAAATATAAATGTATAAATATGACAAAACAAAAATGCGATATTATACAAAAAAAAATTAATACTAAAAGAAAATTGTTTAATTGCTACTTATTTATCTGTAATATAATCTACACAAAATGTGTATGAAATATTAAACAATTTCTATTAAAAGTACAATAATTAAAATTTAATTATTAATATGTAATTAAAAAACCACAATCGAATAATATAGAAAATATATAATAAAAATATATAAAATTGTATAAAATAAAGTTAAATAAAAAAAAATAAAAAAAAAATAAAGTAATGTTATAGAAAATAAAATTCAAATTTATTTAATTTAATAAAAGCTTATATTGACCTTAAAATAATAGTTTTGTGTACATACACTATTTTGTGGGGTCTCTTTCATTATTTCCTTGTACTATACCACCTCTTACTATACAAGAATAACAAGTAGTTAAGTAGTTAATTGAACGGTTTGCGATTTAATTAAAGTGGTTTATGACGTATCTATGTGAAGAGTTAAAGTTTCGACTGGACATGATTCAATCCATATGATTGGGTTTTTTGTGTCTTCTTGTAGATATTTCGTCAAGTATTTTAACAGTTTTGGGATCTACTACTGAAGCACTATTACGGCTAATAAAGTAATTTAATTGTAGTATTTGTACGTTTTTACATGTTAAAAAACCAGTTTGCGAGTGTTTTTGCACAACGCGATTTAGTAAATGTACCCTACTTCACATTTGAAATGGCTTATTAGTTCCATACAAAGTTACAACAGTAACGTTATTTATTTTGGGATATGTATTTATATATATTTAAACTGTATGTTATTGTGTGCATTAATACTGCGTACATCATCATCGGAAATCAACATCAATCTAATCATGTTGACTTTTTATTCCATAAGGGGAAATAAATGAAATATGAAGTTTTATGGGTTACTGGTTCATATAGACTCAATGATCAAAATTTATTACAATAATTTAAGTAAAATGGGATATTTCTAACTATCGATATGATACGCTAAATACTAAACAAGTATTTATCAAGAAAGGTGGTGAAGAAACTCGATGGCATAACGCTACCAGCTAGGTGGATGTTGAAGATCTAAAAATCTACGGTTGGGAAGTGGAATGGAAGCAAGTTAAAGTAAATTTCATATATGTACATATTAATATATGTAGCAAATATTAATCTGTCATTGTCAGCATATAACTTACATTGTTTTGATTGATAATAAAGATTTTGACAAAAATTTAGATGCGTTGTCAAAATCATAGTGTGTTTTACTTTCTGAACACGTGAATGTAGAAACTCAGAGAAATTATCTGAATAACTTAAAATTTACCATATTTTGATCGATTTTTAATAACTTTGATACAATATTTAATAATACACAATAAAATTAAATTCATGAAATAAAATACTTTTACTTGATACAAACACGTTTAAAATATTGCTTAGCTAATGTAAGTTAATATAAGTCACTTAAAATGAACCAGTTTTTTCGGTTCCTTCATGTTCGGATTATGTGAATAGTACTGTATATTAAAATTTTTATACAATAAGAAAAATTAGAAATCTTATTATTAACAGATATAGATCTCAGTTATAAACGTAATTTTTTTCTTCAAATTCTGGCTTAGCTTGTAATGTTGTAATTACTTTGAATCGAAATTTTTACATACTATTTAGTTTACTGCAGTTAAAATCACTAATAATCGTTAACATAGTATATGCTATATTTTTATTTTTTAATATTATAGTTTAATAATAACAGATATAGTTCTCAATTTTAAAGAAATTTGTTTTCTTGAAATTCTGGTTTGCTTTTGATGCTCCAATCAAGTTCTTGTTTCTGAAATATCAATTTTAATGACTATTACTTGAAACTACTCTACTGCAGTTATAATCAATAATAATCATATATGTATGTACTGTATTCTTTTAGTTGTTATGATCGGTCATAATATAATAATAATATTTTTTGCTTCATATTTTTCTTAAGTTAATCGTTTTGTTATTGTTTTTATTTTCTACTTTTTAAAAGATGCTTGATTTATTGAAATCTTTTGACCACTCACCATTGACAACAATCTCAGTTGTTTATGTCTCTTTTGATAATATAAAGAACATTTTAAGTATGATTATTCTAAAAATATAAACCTCAGCTAATATAAACAGACAAATCGAATTAAGTGATGAGGTTGAGATACTTTCACGCTGAGATTAGTACCTGGAGAAGCGAGTTTGTGTGCGGTTCGTTTTATTTGTTCTGTTCTGTTCGTGTAGAAGAAAAAAAATATAAAAATTTGTATCTCAAGTTATGAGTAAAAGATTTTTTTTTGAATTTTTTATATTAACATTATGGAA